CTGAATCTGCTAGGTGGTATCTTGGACAAAGTCCAAGCCAAACAACTCCTTCTCTCCAACCTCAGACCAGTAGGTAAGGGTGCGACACCTCCTACCATACAACGCCTCGTAGGGTGCCATGCTCAGGCTAGCATGGAAACTGTTGTTATAAGAAAACTCAACCAATGGCAGATACCTATCTCATGCTGAGCCCTGCTCCAAAGCGCAAGCCCTCAACATGTCCTCCAAAGTCTGGATGGTCCTCTCAGTCTGTCCGTCAGTCTGAGGGAGATAGGCGGTACTCAATCTCAAGTGCGTACCGAAAGCTCCCTGCACGCCTCCCATAACCGAGATGTGAACTTCGGGTCCCTATCACCGATGATACTCTCGGGCACCCCATGAAGCCTCACGATCTCGCGAACATAAAGCTTGGCCAACTGCTCTGTAGTGAAGCTCACCTTCACTGGAAGAAAATGGGCAGACTTCGTCAGTCTGTCCACAATGACCCAGATAGAGTCACAGCCAACCTGAGTCTTCGGCAAATCCACCACGAAGTCCATGGAAATTCTCTCTTATTTCCATTCCGGAATCTCTAGAGGTTGAAGCTTACCAGACGGCTTCTGGTGTTCTAACATCACCTTCTGACAAACAAACATTTGGACACGAAAACAACATTGTCCATCTTCAAACCAAGACACACCATCCTGGTCCTTCACAAAGTCCAGGCACTCTCTCTGCACTTGCGCCTATTGATCTTCTCCAAAAGCTCAATCTTGACTCTCACAGTCTCCGTCTCGAGAAGTGCACCCCCAAACAAGGAAGTCATCGTCAAAACTCGAAACTTCACGAAGACATCAAAAGCTTCGCTCGACACACTGGGATCACCAGTCACTCTCTCAATATAGGTGACCTAACCCCACATACTCAAATCCACACCAACTTGAGTGAGTTTGGTCCTATTCCATGACTCTAGCCTCAACACGACTTACAATTTATAATCAACATACACAACATAAATTCATATTCATCTCACAGTACGAAGTCATAATCATGTTCATTTCAACCAATACATGTTATTTAACATATTCATTCACATAATAACGTACCTTAGTTCACGTACACCTGCAAAATTTTCAATTTCAATAACATAATAACTCAAACTCAATGCAACGGTATACCTCAATCTCCATGGTATCTGTAAAATCGAGAGTCAATTGAAGGTGAAATAACATTGATACATTACCACAATTTATCGTACTTATTTCATGCTTTACACTACTCCACGTGTTAACATGCCAACTACTTACGAAGCATATTAATAATCAACATTCGAACCTAGAGTCATGGAGACCACTCAACTCACAAACGAATTGTACATACACTGCCTCGCATATACAAGATCGCGCTTGGCCCCTACCACAAAGTCCAAGTGTTACACACTTAGTTTCCCTAAAGAGAATTTCACATTCTCAACAAGACACCATCACGATTAAGTAATGGCGTAAGGCATCATACCTTACAACAAAATTGACCGGTGCTCCCCACGGAGACACGCTCGGTCGAATGAAGTCTTTCGCCGAAAGATCTTCAATGAGCTTCTTCAGCTCCGCCAACTCAGGTGGCGACATCCGGTATGGAGCTAAAAAAATAGGCCCCACACCAGCAACAAATCTATGGAGAACTCTATCTCCCGCTGTGGCGGTAACTCAAGAACCTCCTCAGGAAACGCCTCGAGGAATTCCCCAACCGCAGGAATGCCAATGATATCCTCCTGCGTCCCACTCACCACACCTCCCAACATGACATATCCAAGTGCCCCTGCACTCAAGCTCTCCTAGCCTGCAGTAATGATATATAAGGGGAGGAACTGGATGTGGATTCACACAGAGGCATCACCACACGCTAGGTACAACAATCAAACAACCATTCAGTCGTCACACAACTATAGGATGATCTATCCATGCCAATGATGGTCTCCAAAATTTGCCATCGGCAATTCAATCCGATCTACCGAAGATCGCGGCCATCCCACTGAAACACGACATCTCGATGCACAGTTGTAGAATCACACTTTTCTCCGGGGGCGTGGTCACCCGCAACGGTGGAGAAAGCACAACACTGGGCAACTCAAGCCCCAAGTAATCGGGGTTGCAACTGGACCTTTTTTATATTTCATAGATGCTTTAAGCATTTGAGTTAAATTTGTTTAGATTCAATGTAGTTTATTACACCACCAATAACTAAAAAATGACACATCGATTATGGTAATAACTAGACCTTTTTTTAAAAACTTCTAGTAAAAGCTTTATTATTCATAGGGGGTTCACTTATAGTATAAATTAAAGTAAGTTAAAAAAAATTGAAAGATGTAATATATATATATATATATATATATATATATATATATATATTGGAAACTGATCCTAATTATCTCTTTGAGGCAAATCAGAACCCCCTGGTATCCCCACGGATTCGACTCTTTGAGCCGCCTATGGGACTAATCCAGAGTTCGGGTGCGAGTCCAAGGATTACGGTACTTATGCCCCTCCCCAGATGGTGTTGGTGGGATTCGAATCGAGGTCCTCTCCCACCACTCAGTCCCCATGCTACCAACTGAGCCACCACACTTGGGTAAATATATTAGAATATGGAAACGAACACACACACACATATATTTATAAGGGTCAAATTTAAAGTTTGACATCTCATCTGAGAGCCGTTAGATAAAAAAAAAAAATCAATGGTGTCACATGCTTACAAATCAGAGTCGTTGATCTTTTTTTATCTAACGGCTCTCAGATGATGTGTCAAATTTCAAATTTGACACCGGTGTCAAGAGATCCTACCTCATATATATATATATATATATATATATATATATATATATATATATATATAAAGGAATGTGAAAATTAGAGTAAAAGAGAATTTGAATTTAAAATTTAAAAAAGTATATAAGTAAAGAATGATGATAACGTGTCATTCTTTGAAGAAAGATAAAATAAAAAATTAAACTACAATGAAATAATTATCCTTTAATTTAATAGATTGAAGTTGATTATTTATCCAATGGAATTATTCAACTAAGAAAGAATCAAAATACTTTCTAAAACGTGTTAAGTTCCATTCTTGTTGCAAGAAAATCTCACAAAAAGGTTTATGGTATGCTTTTCTCTTAAAATGTGTTACCCCGTCATTTAAACCATATGATGAATGATTTCACACAAAAATTATCATATGCAACACATGTGTGAAAGGTTGGAAGAATTTGTAAGAAAGCTAGGTTGTTCCAAGGGTGACGGTCCTACTTTGAAATTAGGGAAGTAAAGTTTGAACCATCTTCAAAAGTATGCCAAAATTGATCCTGAGTTTTGGTGGTCTGAAATGAGTTGCGGAGCTTGTACTTATGTAATGATGAAATAATGCCGACATGTCGTAGTGCTGCTGCAACAGTGATACGAGGAATCTCTAGGAGTGGGTGCACTAGAAGTAGAAAGAACATGCGAAGTGGTAGATGAATGAAACACCAACACTTGTTGAAGATCAAAATCATCTTTCTTGTTCTCAGTAATGTTAATTATTAACTATACGTTATGTCTTTATGTTACTCTTTAGTTACATGAAGTTATTTCTCTCATTCTACTTCTCTCACAAGATTTCGAAAAAATTTGTTTTAAGACCCAACCCAGCTTGATAACATATTATTTTTATATTAATATAACAACCACTTTTTCAAAAATTAATTTCATTTTAATTCATTGTCATTATACTGACGTTTACCACTATCATTGGTTCATATACTCTTTCGCTTTAAAAAAGAAAACAAAACGAGTGACCTTATAATTGTAGAAAAGTCAAAAACTCGTTAAATGATACAATAGAAAATGGTTAGATTATAGGTAGATAAACAATAAACTTTAATTTTTTTTAATAAAAAAATATTATATATTTTTTTAAATATAATTAATTGTTATTTATTTCATGCATACCATAGTTAATATCTGATTGAATTATAAATATTTTTTATTTGAAATTATATCGTAAAATAATTTTAATATATTTCAATATGGCACAAAATAATGAAAAAACCTAACTCAAAAAAACGTAAATTTTATTTTGAATTTTAAAAATACAATTTTCAAACAACTAAAATGAAATTATGGCCCACTAAACTTAAAATATTTCAATTGAATAAAAATTTCATCTATTCAATAATTTAAAATTATAGCTATTAATCTTTTTAAAATAATTTAAGTCTGTATTACATCCTTAGTCGAATTCCAATAACTATTAGATTATCTTCGAAGCTTTGGCCCAGCCGTAAAATATTAAATTTAAATAATTGAACTATAAAAACTTTTATACGTAAGTTAAAAAAATAAATCTTCAATGGTATTAAAATTGTTGTTAATAACTAATTAAAAATATAACGATGAAAGAGCCATATAAACTGTACCGTAATAACACTCCCCTAATCGGCTAATACCACACAAACTTCTATCATTGGATTTCGGCATTTAGCGATCCCGCAATAGTCCAAGATGGGTGCAAAATTCTAAATACAGAATGATTTATCCCCAAAGACCACCGTCTGTGTATTCAAAGTTAACTATTAATTAAGACATACCAAAACATTATTGGTAATAAACGTTTTATGAAAAAAACGAGTTATGAAGAAAATGAATTCATGTTTTTAAAATTTTCAAACAAGCATAACGATAAAAGATATAAAAAAATAAAAAAAAATAAAAAATTGTTGATATGTCGGATTCCAAGAACACAATGTTTATTGAAATCGCAATCTACGATTGCCAATTACGCCCTTCTTTAATATGGTTAATCTTGTTTCTAATTTCAGCTTGCCATCGTGGTTACATAGGATCTAGATAATTTAGAACCGAACTAACCTAACCCCGACCATAAGCAGGGAAATTTGAGTCAGATTATCGGGGTCTCAGCTTCCAAAGAGTAAATTTCCAATGTTTACTGGAGTAAAAAGAATTAATGTCATTTCACTCGGGATAAAATTTATAGCAGAATACCAAAAAAAAAAAAGGAAGCACGAATTGCAAAGACAATACCCGAAACATCAGCGGGATAGATAAATGGAGAACGACCTGAGGACAAAGAAGAATGAAACACAGCCAATCATGGACACATGGTCTTCTACAAAGGAATGGATGACCCTACCCTCATTTATCACAAACTTTCACGTGTACAAATGCCATACATCAAACTCATAATGACCGCAATATCAAGCTTCTCACTGTTGGAAAAACCATTATATGGACATACATGAAAAAATGCACAAAAATTAGGACAAAAAAGTTACAGCTTTGGTAGAACAACAAAGATGACTCCGAACTTAATGAGTAAAATGCAATGACCGTGCACAACAGTACCCTTCAGAATCTAGAGTGGACCAAAACCTGGATGCAACGAGGAAAGCCTCATGCATTCAATTGCTACGAAAGCTATATTCTGCAACAAGAACTCTTTACCTGGCTTAGCCATCATTCCTGGATATGGTATCACCCCATTCTGGATGGCTGCAACTATCCATGTCTGATCGTAATTTATATTATTCAATTTTGCATATATCAGATATGGAAACTGCATGAGCAGCAAGTCGCAAGGTAATCTATCATCAAACATCATATGATTTAGAATTGTCCTTTTAATCAGATTAGCCAAGCAAGTCCTTGAACAAGTTGGGATTCTGACTTGAGGGCGTCACACCCATCTGCCTGACTTTTGCATCCTTCTCCAAAGAATCTTTAGCACTTGGACCCTTTACAGATTGTGACAAAGGCGTCATAATTGTTTCTCCAGTAGTACCTGTGACGGCTGCATTCGACAACTCAGATAAAAGATTTACATTATCCCCACTCACAGAGATAGAATAGCCACCGCTGCTACTCTGTCCACTAGCAGTAGTCTCTGGATAGAGTGCCATAACATCAGGTGCATTTGTAGCAGCTCCACCACTATGATTTTTAGTAAAATTAATGCTTGGGTCAATAAGTCCTTCCAGTTGCTCGAATGGATCCAAAGGGGGAGGTGCAACAGTGACAGTTGGTTCACCCAAGTCAAGCAAATCTGGAGGAGATTGTTGATTAGTTTTCTCCCCAGTTGCTTCATTGGGTACAACTTCAGCTTTTGATTCCTGAGATCTGTCTGCAGCACTAGCACTAGCCTTTGGAACCTTATTGCTAGTTGATGATCTTTTCTCAGCTTTAGTTGAACCACCAAACAATGAAGCAGCAAGCTTTTGCTTTTCAGGATCAATTTCAATCTTTTGCTTTCTAGAATCGTAGCTATTACGTGCTTTTGAATTTACAGCAGTTGTAACATCCACCTGAGTGACCCCATTCACTGGGTTTTGGGAACTAATATTTGAGGAAGATGATGTTGGAGACGAATAAGTTGGCCTACCCCACTTCTTCTGAACACCATCAAGCCTTAGCTTAAGCTCTGATGATCCTGTCTCTGATGCTATTCCAACTGAAGAGATCTGGTGAGTCTCCCTAGGATACAATGCCTCAGGTACTGGAACAAGGTCTGTTGAGGATGAAAGTGAAACTGAAGCAACTTTTGATGGCATTGGAGGCTTTGGAACTTCATATGCCTCAAATCTCAGACCATGCTGTGCAGATTCATGCTGATCCTGGCTTCTGAAGTTGCTCATATTCACCATTCCAGTACGCTCATCCTCGTTAATATAGGGCTGAGCACCCCTTTCTAGAGACTGCTGGACATAACCATTGAGGAAAGAAAGATTCTTATCAACCTGCATAAAAGATTCAGTATGTCAATATTCTTAGATCAGAAAAACAAGAATGTTCATATGATGATATGCATTGTTCCAAAGCACATTATTACATTAAGCGAAAAGAGACGAGCATGTGTACAATACAAATTTAAACTACTATTATGTTTAACCTGTCAACAACCAAATCGTCCAAAGATTTTTTTCCAGGAGAGACAAAAATCAATCAAAAGAATCCATAAGCAATAAATTATATATTACAACTGACAAGAATAAATATCTGGGCAGAAGACGAAGACTAGCAATATTATTTGACTAGAAGAAGACTAGCACACTTAGCAATGCAACTATAACACAGTTAAGTAGAGGACAATGTGTTTCTGTCCCAAAACCCCTCGTGCATCTTTTCATCAAAAAGGATTTAGGATAACCAAAAAATTGTGGTTTTAGGTTACCATCTCATTGTTAGTATATAGGTGTCCAAGAGACAATCTGTTTTATCAGATGAACACCTTTTTCGAAGTGGTATTTCATGATTTATAAATTTGAGCAAACTTTATCTTTATCATATTTATGTCTCGCCAATATTTTATTGTTTATATGTGAATAAAGATAAAGACCCTATGAATAGAACAGGTGTTCACTCGGGGATCTATGATAGGGATCATGATCATGAGGACTCGAGGACACTGTATGTCTATTATCTAAAATCTGTTCCTGGTCTTGAATCACCAAGAAAGGGTATTGGTGATCTCAATAAGACTAGTACGACGTCATTTACTTGTATAAAGATGCGAGGTAGGAACCTCATGGAATGCAGGCATGGTGATGTTTTAGGTGATGTCGTGGGTGGATCTATTAGAGAACAAATAGCACTGAACTGACCCACCGAGAGACTCCACAAGGATTCATTATAGAGAGTATCATTGGATTTGTAAAGTCTCTCATCGTTTGGTAGTGCAGATCGTCCTAGACTTAAGGATGTCATCGAATACTATGTCCTAGAGTTATACTTTGACTGTACAACTTTATCCGCCTGAAAAATGGGGAGAACAGTGTACTCTTGGGTATGACTCGAATACATGAGTATAGATGAACATGCCGAAAGGACTTCACAATTCCCTATAAGGGATTAGTCGTTCACAAGACCGGCAGGGTTTGGATGACTTCTAGTTGACTCGGGAATCTATGCATAGTAAGAGATCATGAAGAGTCATGATCTATCTTAGAGTCAATGGAAGAAGATTCCTAGTTCCTGTGAAATATTATATTTAGTCAATAAAGAGAGATGATACTCTATCCTTGCTCTCGACTAAATGTGAATGACGTTGTGAGGGATGATGCCGGCACGGTATCCAAATTAGAAAGGTAGATCACTTGATCAACTCAATTAGTTCTGGGGCTGCAGAACATTGCTAGTGTCTTATGTGGTCATTAGATAAATTGGGCCTGTTAAAAGAGTTTAATTGGTTCAAGTTTATTTATGTCAGTGACTAATTAAGCCTAATGGGTCACACACTAAGGTTATTCTTGATTGCTTACATTTAGCAAGTTTGGACCAATAAGTGTTATTGGATTTTTCAAGACTATAAGTGTAATTGGGTTGGAGTTGAACTCCAAGTCCAATATCATCATGCGCCTTTGGACTATTAGTGAAAGATTAATTTTTCTATTAATAAGCCCAAATGTGTTAGTAGGCCCAATACGGTATTGGGCCATGAATCCTAGCAAGTCAAATAGTTGACTTGGCCAAAATAAGTTTTTGGCGCAATTCGAAATTTGAATTTGAATTTTGAATTTTCGAATTTGAATTCAAATTTAAATTGCGGGCTAGGATAAAATCGAATTTAATTTTATTTAAATTCAAGAGGTTAGGTAATTAAGGATAGTTTTGAATTATCTTTATCTGTATCTAATATGATTAGATAGAGATTTATTATTTCTATTTTATTTGAATTATGAATTTAAATAAAATTATATTTAATGTAACGTCTGTCTCTTAATGCTGATTAAGGGATTTGATGAGGAAACGTTAATGTAACGTCCATCTCTTAATGCTGATTAAGGGATTTGCTGAACCACGTTAAAGTAACGTCTTTTTCTTCAGATCAAGATATACAGCGCCTCTCTGGACTAAAATCCTAATTTTTGGCCGCCCCTTTTTCTCTTCATCGCTCTTCCTCCATTATTGGTCCTCTCACCTAACCTCAAGACAATATTACAGTCTTGAGAAAAATAAACAAAAACACTTGAAAGCCTCCACCTTGCCGCAGCCTAGTGAGCTTCCAAGGAAAGGGAGGGTTCAGGGAGAAAGCGTTTCTCAGAAGCAACCAAGAGGTAGCCGTGTGGATTACTGTTAGAGGGAGTCATCCACTTTGACACCTTCAAGTGAAAAAGGTATGAATTTTAAACCCTACATGTTTAACGGGCAGATCCTAAAACATGAGGCGCATAGATTGTCTATGCTTCCGCATCAAAGACCATTTTTTTTGTTTTTACCCTCATGTAGGCGCATCAAGGTGGGACCTTTGTGCAGCCAATTTTGACTTTCACTCATCTGGGCAAACATTTTGATTTTCCCATCAGTAAATTATACATAAAATCAATTATCTGGCTGAGTGATAACTTCATCTTTCCCCTTGACTATTGTACTTCAGATGGGGAATGGATAGCCTGGAATAATTAATATTTACATCACTTATAGGTTTTGGAACTACTTCTAATCTCAGTAATATGAATGCCTTAATTTTCCTGGCTTATATTATAAAATAAGGGATAAGATATTGTGCCTATTTTTTTCATGCCTTCTGTAACACCCCGTCGGCATCCGGTTTGTTAACATACAATATAGTAATAAAAGCACATTTTACTTTATTTAAATGGCGAAAGACTTAAAATAAGTATGCATGGTAGTATGTAAGAGTTAAACATAAATGAAAAGTTAACTCACGTAGTTTACAGAGAACTTTATATGCCACCATTACTATTGTGAGGGACGCCCGATATGTTTGAATTCAAAACATACAAGCAAGCCGTTATATACGAGATTTACACCTTTACCAACTTCTCTCCAAAACAGTTAGATCACAATCTGAACCAATAGTTGGAGGAGAGAAAAAGGGTGAAGGTCGCTTGAGATTGTGATTTAACGGTGTTGAAGAAAAGTAGGTAAAGTAGAAATTAAAAAAGGTAGGCATAATATCCAATCCCTAACAATAATTAATGCAAGGTTTAACTTTAAACAATGAGGAGTTTAACTTGAAAATATCAATTGTTCAAGGAGTTGGAGCCTCCATTGTACTTCTCAACTCTCAAGTTGTATTAAGAATAAGAAGAAAAGAAGATTGTACATGAATTCCTTAAACATCTACTAAGAGGAAAAAATCTCTAGCTAAGCAACAGTATTTTTGCAAGAGAAATTATCGCATGGAACTAAGTAATACTATGTTAAGATGTAACTTTTCTTTCAGGATGAATGGGAACTTTTATACTGGAAGGAAGGGAAAGAAGGGAAAGAAGTCTATGCACCAACTACAATTGTGGCAGAGCCGCAGAGCTTGACCAAAAATATGAGAATTGACAATAAAACAACTACATTTTCTACATCTAAGCCACTGATAAAAGCCAAATCTTGGATTGCAACCACCAAACACCACTCAAACTTTAGATCAAAAGGCTATAAACAGGCTATCTTCGTAAAATAGAAAAAAGAATGGTCACCAGAATCGTAAGTGTTAAGGGGGTTGAAGTCTGCCTTATTTTCTCGGTAAGGTTTCTAAAAACAGAGAATTTTTTTTGGTTTTTCTTAATAGTCCTAGGGTGGGAGTGCAGTCCAATCAAATACCATTAGGAATCAACTCAACATTTTCAAGTCATGTATGCAGCTACAGAAGCTAATTATGGTAGGATGGTTGGAACTGATAGGTGATGAATAACTTTTAGTTACTAAAAGCATATTGTCTCCTTGACCACACATTTTACATGCACTAAACACCAAAAAAGTGCACAAAGCATTATGAACGAACACAGACAAAATATTATAGTCTTAATGATATATGAATATGTAAAAAAAAAAAAAAAATTTGTTCATGAATATGTAAAATTTTAATGATAACCTCAATATCTTCACAACTTGCATCTTGCGGCATTATTGTTTCAACAGCTCGTGCATCCAAACCAATAAGGGCTTGCAATTCATAAGCACGTTGCTGCAAATCAGTAGAGTGGGACGCTAATAGTTCTTCGACCAAAGATTGACACTGCATGTAGACAAAAAAAGTTACTCATCCTGGCAGTACTGTATCAGTCAAATTTCATTATCAAATTGTAGTAAAGGAAGCAGGATTTTATTTTTCATTAACAACCAATCCACATGAAAAATCACATAAGAATTGAAAACAGTCAAGTATATAATACAGTGAAAACCAAATATTTAATCACAAAAGCAGTTAGTTGAGGATCTTCTTGACTACAACTTTTCAAAGAAAAACATGGTTGGAATTTATAAACATATATAACACCAGAAAGAAGCATCAAAAAGAAATTTATAAAGACTTAGTCCGTTTGAATTAACTAATTTTGAGATCAAAACAGATTATAATCAAAATCTTACTAACAGTTTTCTAGAACAAAGTAATATTTCTCCCAAAATTAATTAAAACCAGAAATCCTTTTAATCTTCATATTCCTCAATGCCAACTCTATTTTGTTAAATCATAAATAAAAAAACATAAAAAAAAAACTTTTAAACTTTATGGATCAAAATAGATATGTAAATAGTAACATGATTCGTGCAACTGCAAACACTGTATAGGTTAGAAGAATTCTTAAAACAAAATATCATTAGTGTGGTTCTTTTGTTCAATGACAGATAGGATAGTCAAAGGTTAGATTGTGCTCAAAATTTAAACCTTCACTTCCATCACAGAAAGCCCATGACCTAAAAGAGGTACAAAACATTAACCTCAATTCTTTCAGTAAATACCTCTGGTAGCATATCCACTTTCCTCCCAGCTGCTATTTCAAATGCATAAATTTTCATCAATGCTGAAATCGCATATGCCTACTCAATAAACAATAAGTTAGTCCTAGTTGAAAATTATTCAAGCAGAAAGATTGATTAAATAGGTATATTAGAGCAGGACAGAGGGTTAGGGTCATAGAGGGGTCATAAAACTAACAAGATAAACATCAATAATTGAATGAAATGGAAGAAGTTACGCAGAAAATATATAATCAGAAGCAGCAATACAAAACAATTTAATATTGCAAAGATTAGTCATACTAATCAGTGTTGTTAAAATCACAATTTTAATTGGAGGATCGTTCGATCCTACAATTTTTTGGCAGCAAACGACACTGAGTGTAGGTAGGATCGTGTTTTGGTAAAGATCGAGTGGGATCGCCTTGCAAGATTGTAAAATCGCTTGGATCGTAGCAATTTCAGCATTTTTGAAAAAAAGCTCAAATACCCAAATTTTTAAATCCATAAACCGTAAGCCCAAGATCCTAAGTAAAAAAATCCAAAGACTAAAACCCTGAACACATGGTAAAAAAATGAAAAAAAAAAAAAAACATTTGAGAAACGTCTCTGACCGACTGAGAAGTGAGAAAGAAAACGAAAGCTCTGACTGTTGCTGCACGATACTGTTCACCTTCTCCCTATTGCTGCACGACTGCTACTGCCATTCTTCATCTCCTCCCGACTGCTACTGCCATTCTTCATCTCCTCCCGACTGCTAACCAAAGACGTCTCCAACTCTGGTTTATGTTATGCACTTATACTTTGTCTTTTACTGTTATTGTAAAAGTGAAACACGGAAAGTGTAAAAGAGAAACTTTGGTTTGGTGGGACTCGTGGCCCTCATGGGTGTTAAAATAAAACATGTTATAGTGACTCTCTTTTTTTCTTTTTCTTTTTTTCTAAAACACTGTTAAGAAAGTTTACTCTCTCATCATTCTAATATTTTACTTGTGGCCCTCATCATTCTTATCATTTTTTTTTCTTTTTTGTAAAAGACTATTATGTTATGAGTTATTCTCCTTGACTTATTACCCTCATCATTCTTATTATTTGTGACTTATTCTCCTTGACTTATGTTATGAGTTAGGAGTCTTACGACTTTTATATTATGTTTATGAGTTTTACAATTGATATAAGTTATTTTACATGCATATATATGATTGAATATAATTTTGTATTTTAGGTAGTAGGATCTTACAATCTATGTCGATCCCACGATTTACGATCCTATTACCCACTGCCGATCCTGCGTATGATCTCGATTTTAACAACATTGATACTAATACTATATTCCCCATTCAGAAACACCCAAAACCAATTACAGACATCTCATCACACCCTTAACTACAAATCAAGAATACAAATATGGAATACCATTACACAATCATAAGTTGTTGTTCTAACGCATCCTGTTGAAATTATAGATATTTAGGCATAGACAGATAAAAAGGGAGAAGATTGAACAATATTGTATATTGATGTGATCTGAAGTGATTGATGTCATTACAAAAGACATAGCACTACTAAATAGGGGACTCCTAAAATAGGAAACAAATAATGAAATGTAAGGAAATATGAAAACTAATCGTAAGAGATCCTCTAGGATATTCTAAACTATATTAAGATATAATCCTATTATTATATGATATATTCTAACACATCCACACATTTGCACAGAATAGGAACTACTGGAATCTCACCAATGAAATCAATACATCAATGAAACAGCTAGAATAACTGCTTATCACAGTCAATAAAGATGATTGTCATGTAACGGAGTAAGTCCAGGGAAAAGCTAATTCCACACTCACCCATTTCGATCAATTAGAAGGTGATAATGCTTGTCCAAGCATGTATTTTTCATGTTAAATAATTAGGCTAATTTACATGGCAACTATTAACACAGACCATATTGCAGACCTGGACAAGAAGCATTTAGCTACCAAAGAAACAAACTGAAGTACTTGATTCTTGAGAATCAAGTGTTTTATTTGGAGTGAAGAGAGACAGAGTAAAGATCCAGCAGGGGAGTGGGGAAAACACAGGAGAAAAAGACTAACAATCCTGATGAAAACTTCTCAATAAAACTGGAATGAAGCTTTTTAACTAGAATTGAAAGTTAGATTGTGCTTCAAACACAAGTAGCCATATTTATGCCTAATTTCAAATTGGTAGCATTTACTTTGATATTGATGTCAATATTGACAGCAACAATAAAATAGAAAGAAACTATCCACTGATAATCAAAGTCCGTCAATAAAAAGTTAACTTCACTATTATAAAATAAAAAATTGGCATTAGATAAATACCTTAACAGTTTCATCATTAGAATATGCCTCTGCTATGTCACATAACTTCCCAGTGATATAGGAAGAAGAATACTTTCCATCTGCCATGCCATATTCCCCCAGAACCCAACAGATGACCTGTAATCAGTACTAAACATTATGCTAAAAAACAGATCTAATTTCTTGAAAAGTAAAACAAGTGAGGAAATATAAAACCTAAGTAAGATAGAAAGTACTTGAAGAAATGCTGACGGAAGCTTCGGCTCTCCAATAATGCGCAAATATGACTCAGCCTACACCTCATAAAACAGCTTCCACTCAGTAACAGATGCATGCATATAAACAATTCTGTAGTGGACACAATAAATAAATGGGTGCAATTATATAAATTACATACAGCAGACGATCTCAACTGACTATCTGCAGCAGCATCATCCTCTCCAAATCCTTCAGCAATCAATCGCATTAAATTATGAGCCACCTTAATATTCACAAGATCTCCAGCATGCTCGAAAACTTTATTCATGGTCTGTGTAATCAAAGAATAAGGTATTATTAGTTATCAATGGATGTTTGCAAAAAATAAAGAATTCAAAATCAAGAACATAAAGGCAACAATTCCATTTACCTGTATAAACCAATGATTACTTGGTGCAAATTGCTCAGCAAGTTCTACACATCGAGATGCTATATAGGTTTTATAATGATCATCACTTATGCTAATCATGTAATCAATCATCCGATCAACAATCACTTCCACATTGGAGGACTTAGTCATTTTGTATAGCAGTTCAAAAGTTTTTCGCTTCAGCGTATCATCAGGGTCCTGCACCACACAAATTAAATTTTAATCCGAACTGCAAAGTTTGGCATGAGCTTAATAAATTGAAATATTCTTCCAAAAGCTCACGAATGTGTGCGTCATTCTAAAGAGCAAAGATAAATTGAGATTAATAACTAGTTACCAAAAACCAGATACAATTGCAAATTTTAATAAACCAGACAAAACAAAATCTTGTTGAGTTCACATACAGGAATCATGTCATAGATTAATGTATTATAGAATAGATAAACAATATAATTAGATAGAGAAACATACAACTAACGATTAAATACAAGGTGGATCCATTTAAGGTAGATCCATTCAATTGATTTAAATTAGCATGCTTCTCACATTCAGACAAAGTCAGACAACATCTGACCATACTTGTCAGTAGCAGTTAGTGGCGAGTAGCAGCAGACCCCGAAAATGGTATAGCGGTATTGCCGCTATGGGGAAGTATTAATTACATATATATTACACTAAAAGTCTAATGCTACACAAATATAAATGCTCAAACATAAGAAGTCACACAAACTCAAACACATAATTCCACAATCAATGTCAAATACAAAGAACATAAAGGAAGGATCCAAAATTAAACACAAATGAACAATGAAATTGTCAAATAGTCAAATACAAGAAGTGAACTAATAAAGAAAATCATCATCATCTCTAGATTCTCCATCAAATTCCAACAAATCTTCTCCCTCACTTTCATCTTCACTTGAACTAATGGTATAGCGGTGTAACGGGTAGCGGTATTGCCGCTATGCTACACCGCTACCTTCTACTACCGGCCAGCGCCGTATCGCGATTGTAGCGGCTGGCCGCCGCTACCGACAACCTAGCATCTAACAAGCATTAACTTATCATCTTACAAGATTTGTCACCAAATTCTTCATGATGTATTTCTAAGACATGAAAGGGACATATTTCTCACAATAAAATGAAGTCAATGCGCATACAACAAACATTAATCCACCCTAATGGTGACTTTGTTGGCAAATTCTTCATATTTCATAATGAATTTCTAAGACATGACACTAATCGCCAACGGTCTCCAATATCAGTCTAAACTCTACATTAAAAAAAAAAAAAAAAAAAAACCTGCAAAATTGTCGAAGGGTATTCATTAGAGAATATATGTTAATTAAACTCAAGGATGCAGCAAACAGGTGATCATCCAAACAATTCTAATTGCTTATTTTTTAGCCATGTAAAGCCAAAAGTACACGACTATATCCATGACTAATACCAATATCAACCCTTTGCATGTACATTTTCTCTACAAACTTTGTCCCAAGAATTAGTTAGGCCCTGTTTAAATACTGTTTCTATTGAAAGATGTAAACAAAGGTTTTTCTAAAAATTGATACATTTGATTTACACTGATAGGGGTGTTTATACAAGAGCAAATGAGAAAAAAATGGATAAAAATGATTCAGCAATGAGTCATCAGCCCTATCCTATAAAAGCATATTCAAAATTCAAATTCCTATTAAAGGAAAAAATCAATCACTAATTAATAGGAAATAAAAGCAGAAAGAATCTAATCCTGATTTTCTACATTCTCCCTCAAGTTGGGAGGTAAATGTTGATCATTCACAACTTGCCAATGAGGTCTTCAAAGGTTGGTCCGTGTAGGCCTTTAGTGAGGATATCTGTGGTCTACTCTTTAATAAGAATATACATCATACACACACTTCTATAATCTTTTTTTTTTTTTGATAAAGTGGCGATCAACCTCCACATGTTTTGTTCTATCATGGTGAACTAGATTTTAAGCAATACTGACAGTAGCCTTATTATCACAATACACTCTTATAGGTAAGGAAAAATAGATCTTCAATTCCTCAAGGAGTCTTCTTAACCAAATTCTTTCACAAATACAATGGGCTAGAGCCCTAAATTCTGCTTTTGCACTGCTCCAGGAAACAACTGTTTGTTTCTTACTTCTCCAGGTCACAAGATCTTCCCAGACACAGGTACAACATCCTGAAGTGGATCTTCGTTCCAATGCAAAGCTAACCCAATCTGCATCTATATATATATTTGTCCAATGCAAAGCTAACCCAATCTGCATCTATATATATATTTCAATCATCCTTTTGTGTCCCCTTTTAGAGAACAATCCGCAACCAAGGGTGTTTTTGAGGTACTTGAAAATTCTATAAACTGCACTCAGGTGTTTTTCCTTAGGAGAATGCATGAATTGACTAACCACGCTAATGGCATATGCAATATCAAGCTGTGTGAGATAAGTAGATCAACTTCCCCACCAATCTCTAGTACTGCTCTTTGTCAACTTCTTTCCCATCTTCAATTCCCAATTTAATATTGGGTTCAACTGTAGTCTCTGTTGGCCTGCACCCAAGCATTCTGATAGGACCCCACTAATGGTTTATCATAAAGATTGCCACAGAGAATTATTTAGGAAGGATGACTCAGCTAATGAAAGGAATATTCTAAAGGAGAGGTTGTTGGAAGGCTCCAATTCTGTTAGAAGAGATGATGTGGCAAGCAGAGAGGGTGAGGTGATTAAAAGGCAGCAGGGAAGTAAGGAAAGACATCTTTTGGGCATTTGGAACCTTGGGCACCTTGGGGTGATTTGGAAGAGACTAGGGGCTCTAGATTTCCTCTAGAACTTTAGCTTCTGTAATTAGGATGAGTCACTGTAATTTGTCTTTCTAATTGTCTTCTGCTTCCCTGTACTCTTTTATTCAACATTTTGGATTGTAATTTCGTTTCCATATTATACAAAAAATCCAGAAGATGGCCTTCTAGGCCAAAAAGTGTTGTTCTCCATTCTGTTATTGTGTGTCTCTGATCCGGTTCCTATCACATTCCTATTTCTTGTAATAGGTCTAGAATATATTTCTTCTTTGTTAAAGAAATCCCTGCCTTATTTCAAGCAACCTCCATTCCCAGGAAATATTTGAGAGATTCAAGATCCTTCAGTTCAAACTGATCAGCTAAACACTTCTTCAAAGAGCTTATCTCCTCACAATCTTTACCTGTGACAATTATATCATCAACATAAACAATGAGAATAGCAATTTTACAACCATTAGAGTGTTTTAAAAATAAAGTGTGATCAGTCTGAGCTTGGAGGAATCCTCTTCCCTTAACAGCTTGAGTAAACTTCTCAAACCACTCTCTAAGGGATTGTTTAAGACCATAAAGAGACTTCTTCAACTTGCATACTGAACTGTCTCCCTTTTCAAAACCAGGTGGTGGATCCGTATAAACTTCTTCATGTAGATCACCATTCAAGAAGGCATTCTTTACATCTATTTGTTGTAAGGGCCAATCAAGTGCATAGTGTTAAGCTTGGCAACAGGGGCAAATGTCTCCTGATAGTCTATCACATGAGTCTATCTAAGTGAATCCCATAGCAACCAATCTGGCCTTGTACTTGTTGATGCAGTTATTAGCATTAAACTTTATTGTAAACATCCACTTGCAACCTACTGTTTTCTTTCCTCTGGGTAATGCTACGGACTCCCAAGTTCAATTTTTGTTGAACGCGTCCATTTCTTCAAAGATTGCATTCCTCCATTTTGGATCATCAAGTGCTTCTTGGATTTTTTTGGTATTTTTGTACTGTTTAACTTAGTGTTGGAAGCACGAAAACTTGGGTACAATTTTTCATACGTGATATGATGAGAAATAGGATGAGCAATACAAGTTCTAGTACCTTTCCAGAGAGCAATAGGCACATCTAGGTCGACTGTATCAGTGTTGTTGGAACTAAGGCTCAAGTCAGAATCCTAGCAGTCTAAAGGCTCCTGAGGTGATTCTTGCCTGCTATAAAACTTTCTCCATTTACCAGGAGGATCTCCATTCTTTGGCATAGTAACTCCCCCTATCTTTTGGACAAAGACTCCCCTTGTCTCCAACAACAAAATCATTTGGTTTCCAAGGCTTATCTTCATCTACCCAATAGACTCCCCCTAAAGAGAAGTCTAAGGAAAAAATGATTGTCTCTCATCAAATGTGACATCCATAGAAACAAAGACCTTACGAAGAGAAGGTGAGTAACACTTGTAACCCTATTGGTTAGGAGGATATCCTATGAATACACATTTAATACACTTAGGATCGAGCTTGGACCTTTGATGGGGAGGAACATGTACAAAAGCCACACAACCAAACAACTTGGGAGGAAGGGAAGAATGAGCCTAGAACGAAGTAAAGGTGTGGGTAAGACAAGATAAAGGACTGAAAATTTAGGACACGAGAAGGCATCTGATTGATGAGGTATGCTGCAGTCAAGATTGCTTCCCCCAACAGTATTTAGGGACATGCATGGTAAACATAAGAGCTTAAGCAACTTCAAGGAGCAGCCACCCCATTTTATTGAGGGGTGTTAGGACAAGAACTTTGATGAAGAATACTATGCTAGGTGAGAAAGTCTCCAAGAACAGAATTAAAATATTCAGCATCATTGTCAGTTCGAAGAATTTGGATAGAGGTCTAGAACTGAGTTTGAACCATAGCATGAAAGATTTTAAAGTGAATGCAGCATCATACCTATCCTTTAGAAGGTATACCAATATACCCTAGACTGATCATCTATGAAAGTTATAAGCCAACGAGCACCAGAGATATTTTATTCACGAGCTGGACCCCATATATCACTATGAATCAAGGTAAATGGAGAAGAATCATCATGGACTCTAGGAGGATAAGAAACACGAGAATGTCTTGCAAACTGACAAATATCACAAGAAAAAGAATTGGGATTTTTATTGATAATTAAGTTTGGGAACAACTTCTAAAGATAAACAAAATTTGGGTGTTCTAACCAACGATCCCACAACAAAACATCATTACAATCATCTAACAAACATACCGAGTGGTTCACAAAAATTTTCTCTTCACAAGATCCTTTTCAAAATAATAGAGCCCTTCTTCCTCTCTAGCACTGCCAATCATTAGCCCCGAGTCCTATTCTTGGAAAACACAAGCATGGACAAAAAACTTGGCAACCATAGTTATCAATTGCGGATTGCGGCCCGGCCCGGCCAACTCTAAAAAACGTTATAGCGGATTGCGGTTGCGGAAATTGCGAAATAATAGAACCTACATATATATAGATATATATATAATAAAAAAATATGATAATATATAATAAAGAATATAGCAATTATATAAGATATATATATATATATATATATTAAAAAGTAAAAAAATTCATTCATAATAAAAAAAGTAATATGATAACAAGTCATTTTCTTAAATACAATAAAGAATATAGCAATTATATAAGATAAATATATATATATATATTAAAAATAAAAACATTCATTCACAATAAAAAAAATGTAATGTGATAATAAGCCATTTTCTTAAATATAATCAAAGATGTAACAATTATATAAGAGCTATTTTTTTTAAAAGTATATTATAACCAATAGTAAATTTAACATACTTGAACACAATATTTAGGTTTACTAAACCCCAAGTTTTTGTTGTTTGTCCTGATATTTAATTTTTCCTTAGAATGAGACAACATTGTTAGGTGACATTTTTCTTATCCCTAAGGGTGACATCAGTGGTATGTGCAATAATGTTGATCCCAAGATGAAAGTGATAGTTGGACCCAACTTAACATTGGTACAGGCCAAAACAAAAATATTAATGTGGCTAAAGATGTGGCCATTAGAATTGGTCATAAGTTGGAGTAGGTGGCTCCATTTGATTGGGTTGGTACAAATGGTAAAATATTAAAAAAAATGATGCGAGAAAAAAAGTCAAAAACAAAAGCTGATAGAAAAAAATAATAAAAAAAGGCCAAAAAAAATAAAAAAGATGCCATAGACAGAGAGAGAGGGGGGGGGGAAACAACAAAACATAACAGGCCAAAAAAATTGAGAGAGGAAGCCATAGCAAAGAGCAAGAGACAGCACGCGATAGAGAGAGGAAGCCAAAGTAGAGAGCAAGAGACAACACAAAGCTATGGTGCAGCTTCGCAGAGATAGAATGGAATGGGGCAACTTCATACAACAGGAAGAGGGAATGGGTTTAGGTTAAATAAAACGACTAAAAACCCACATCCAGCTATTTGTCCGCAATTTGACCACAAAACCGGACACAATGGCCGCAATTCAATTCTGGCGTGACGCGAAGTCCGTTCTTACGGTGCGCACCCGCATCTAGCGCGGCTAACTACTATGTTGGCAACAGAATGTAATTCAGAGGTAAGTTTGCTAATAGAAATGAGGTTACAAGAGAGGGAACATGAAGGATTGAGTTCAGAGTAATGTGTTCAGAAAGTTTAATAGATCCCTTTCCAGCAATAGCAGAGAAGCTGCCATCGACTGTTCTTATTCATGGTTGTTGATAGTAAAGGGTATAAGAACAAAACAAGGTTGTATTACCTGTCATATGATCAAAAGCCCCTGAATCAAGAATCCAACGACTATTTGTCAACATGGAACGTCATACCTTGTTGGGCCACAAAACTGGTGATTTGCAATGCCAAACTTTTTCAGATGACGGCGTGTTGGGCGCAGCGGAAGGGACGGGTGAAGCCATGAAAAAAGACAAAGTTTACCCAGAAAAGTCGCCGAAAATTTTTTCCGACAGCGTCTGACGGTGGTGACCGGTTGAATTCTGCTCAGAATTTGATTGTGCGGTGATTGATGCCCTCACTTTGGTGATTAGACCTTCACAGATGAAGATTCCGCAAAAAACAACAAGAAGTTTGGGTTTTTTTATGACGAACAATGGGGTTTTTGAAAGGGATTTCTAAATGGCTTGAGAACAAATTGTATAAGATTCGATGAACAGTAACTCCGACGTTTACATTTAACTTTCAAAACAAAAAATACAGAAAACACATGTTTTCATAACTATTCTACAAAACAGTTTTAAAAACAAAAAAACAAAAACACAATCAAACAGACCCTTAATCATTGTCCTCATCATAGAGAGATAATGAAGAGATTCTTTTCCATATAGCACAAACTAAAAGAGAGAGACCCTTCTCCTAACTAAATTAACCTAAAGTGAGAAGAACATACAATAATCTACAAGACTAAAACAAAAATTGGCAACTCAATACACATTCACCTTAACTCTTAAAGCATTTAAGACAAATATCCTCACCTCTAAGCAGTCAATCACGGCCAGTTGATGTTGTTCAGCAACATTCGGGCTTAACTTTATCAGCCGACCAAGGGCATCAATCCCCATGTACTTGAGATTATGACTGTCACTCTGCCCACATAACAATAACAACATGTAACAGAACACACCCCAATGCAACATCAATGTACACAATTACATATAAACTTCAAAAAGAATTCACTTCACCAAAAAAAAAATTAATAAAAACAAACCTTCAAAAACCTCGCAATAGCGTCGGCAGCAGCTTCTAACAACTTAGGATTGGGATATATAGAGGAAACACAGCATATGCATTCATAAAGAATAGCATTCCCTATATTACTCGTCGAATCACTCTTCCTAATTATATCACCAATAACAGTATACATGTTCTCACTAGCATGCTTATCACCGCTCCCCAACAATGCAAGTATCTTCAGCAACTTAATCTGCACACTCAAAACACATTTTCTCAAATCAGGTTCAATCCAAAGCCAAACAAAAAGAGCACATAACACTTAAATGGATAACGGACCTGAATGAACGGAGCTGGCATTTGGTGATAATCGTAGCTCTTAGGTAACCTACGTTCTGCTACTTGTTTAAGAATGCTAACGAAGCTAACAACAAGGTCCTTATAAGGGTTAACATCGATGGTTATGAGATCAAAAAGGGGGCATAAAGTAGCACCCATGACCCCAGGGTCATTATCACACAACTTCTTGCGAAAATTGGAGACCAAATGTGAAACGGAGGAGGGAGATTTATGGAAGAAACGATGAAGAGCCATAACGGCTTTTTTTCTTACGGCCTCCTTAGAGTGAGAGAGAAGGTCTACCACTTGAGGCAGCACGGCGGGGATGGTTTCCTCGTTAATGAGGCGGCAGACGGCGTTCAAGGCGGCGCAAACAACGAGGTAGTTATCGGATTTAAGGTCCTTCTGAATGGTGTTAACGATGAGGATGATGAGGTCATGGTCTTCGTTGAGGAAGAGTGTGACGGCTAAGTAGCCGGTGCGTTTGGAAATTAAGTTGTCGTCGTGGGTCATCTTAACGGCGTGGATGTATCCAAACGACGCGTCGTGGCCGAGCATCTCGACGTAGAGGAGGCGAATGATGTACTCTTTCATCTTGCGTTTTGGGATGTCGGGTTCGGAGATTCGTCGTTTTAGGGTTTCCATCTCGCGAACGACGATGCGGTCCTCTTCGGCTTTGGATCGGGCTTCTCCGATTGATTTGACCAGCTCCAGAAACTCCTTGGATTGACCGAACCCGCCTTGGGATCCCATGGCGAGTTCTCGCCCGATCGTCTTCAATTGCTCCAGCTTTCGGGTTTTCGGGTGGTGGAGCTTCGGATTTGTGGAATCGGGATCCGGGAGTGGGGTTCGGTGGATGTGGTGAAGGGTTCTAGTGAAGGGAAGTTCGCAGAGAAAGATGGGGAGTGTGAGAGAGTAGAAGAAAGGGTTTGAGAATTGTGAAGAGTAGGTGTGGCGAGTGTGAAGAAGAAGACAACGATTGCAGCAGACGGTGTCGTGTCAGACGGAGGAGCGGAGAGAGAGAGAAGAACTGCTTCACTCGGGTGCTGATGAAAACTAAATTAAACAAACTGATTTTTTTTACTTTTTATTTTTTATTTTTTCTGTGAAAACATTTTCTAAGTAGTGGGATAAAGTGGAAATGTCGTTCGGCAAGGATAAAACATAGGAATCAATGAATCATGATTTTCACAAATTTACCGTAAAAGTAATTTTTTTTAAAATATTACAAAAATTTGTTTAGTACGTCAAAAAATTTATCAAGAATATTATCAAAAAGTTATACGAAATTTTTCTATGTCGTAGGAATTCAAAAATATCACACTCTAAGTGGTATTCTTATATAGCATTTTGGTTCAAAAAGCATCAAAAAAATATTTGAATTTGATTTTTCAAAAAATTTAACAATTCATATACCAAACGTAAATAAATAGGATTATCAATGTCAATTTTCCAAAAACCAAATTTTTTTCTTATACCCAACCGCCCGTAATTTTTTATATTGAAATAACATAGATTTTAGGGAAAAGTTCAAATAGCCCGGTTTGCCTTTGAATTACTTACCCCTTGTGCTTTTTTTTATCATTCATCTAGAGAGTGTTTAGTATAGGAGAAATTTTTTATAACCAGGTAAATATAAATAGTGGAGAAATGGTTGTAAAATAAAATAAGTGGAGAAATTTTAAAAATGTTGTTTGGTAGACCGAAATATAACAGGGAAATTGTGTAAAATTTACTGAGACCATGTTTGGTTGAAAATAAAAGATTGACGGGGAAATAAGACAAATTTCCCCAATTACCCCTGAATATTATAATAAAACTCGGTAGAAAAGAGACGTTGGACACGTGATGAAAGCAACGTTCTTCTTCGTCCTTCATATTTGTGTTTCTGTGCATAACATTTCGAAAACTACCTTCATCACTCCGGCACTGTCAGGTATCGGTCTGATCAGAAAAATCTCCGCCGACATTAAAGCTTAGACAACAGGATCGAGTAGTGTGCTGCCATCAAAAGTGAGTTATTCTGAAAACATCCTTGATGCATAGAGTTAATTTGTTTTTGGTTTTGAGGTGGGGTTCGACAGTTGCTTCGCCTGTGTGTTATATTTGTGATGGTGGGGGTGGGAATTTAAAGTGGTTTAATTTGTATGGTTTAGGTTTGTAATGGTTGAATCCCATAATAAGTGGATATAATATTCGAACTCATCTATTCGTATGTGCATTTAATCCGTAATGCTTTTATATAAAAAAATTACATTCGGATGTGCTAATTTCAGAACCAATCAAAAGTGTCGTTTCTTTGAATGGTTTGAAGAACCAACATGTCGTAATTGTGTTTCTAAAGACAAATTGTTGAATAGATTAGTACTTTTGGTTGTTGTAATTGTAATAACATTTGGGTTGATCATAGGGGAAATGTTTAAGTATCTTTGACTAGTTTAGTGACTGTAAACATGGGACTATTGTGTATTTCGTATTAGTAGGGTTTAGAGTTTGTGATCTTTAAATTTGTTGAACTGTGGACATCTCTTAGACTTTGGTCTGTAATGTTGAGACTTTTATTTATGTATCTTTGTGTTTATCTCTATTTCTCTGTGTTTATGTTCCTATTTGCGTATCTTTGTGTCTCTTTGTTTATACATCTGTCTATCTGCCCAAGGTATGATCTTACTTGGGTGATTGACATTTTCTATCATTTTGTATTAGATTTGGTTTTTTTCTTTGATGTAACTTAAGTTCTATTATATGGATTCTGGTGTGGCAGTGAATGGCTGCCCAAGAATGAAGAAACATGTATCACTACAGGTAGCCATTGAATTGTTGATAGGCTTAACAGTCAAGTTTAGTTATGGCAACTAATGATGTGACATAGGAAATATGAAGAACCATTACAGATGATGAGTGTGAACGCATTTTGCTTCTGTTTATAACCAGGTCCAATGCTTCTGTTTCAGATAGTGGGGTAACAGCATCCTGCAAGAAATCATATAATAAAAATGTAGGTGTCAGTCCAAGGAAATTCGATTTATCAAATATTTCAAGCATAGAACCAGTTTGAGAACTTCACCTGGGGTGGTAATGAGGAGTGGCCTAGGAGACGTCACTTGGTTATGAAGAAATGGCATAATGAGTGTGGATCCAGAGTTGTGAGAGCTATATCCAACCAGGTAGCCATTTGCTTGTTGTGTTGATGCTATATATCTGCATTCATTTAATTGCTTGTTGTGTTTGACTGTCCTTCCTCTTTGTGCTGACAAGGATGTGCTAGCAGAAGCTTTTCTATGCTTTGGTGCTAGTTCTATGACATGGATGGATTTAAGCTCCTAGAGTTTGTGGGACTTGAGTTATCAGTAAGTTCATACACTTTTGTCTTGACATGCATTTGACATGAGCTTTAATTCTCTATATTATGAGGTTTTGGTATATAACTGATGAAGATTGTCCTAATTACGATTTAATTTGTTTAAATAATTTTCCTTCTGTTATCTCAAAAAATAGAGTTGATTTACCCATACAAGAAAGTAAATTCTCTTGGAAAGAAATTTGATCTTGAGAAAAATAAGTTGTCTTACAATATAGGGTTGAAAGTTTGTATTATGAATTTACAATTATGGGAAAGTGTGTAGCAATATCAATCATCAAAGTGCGAAGAACTTCATATTCAGTTTGAGAAGGTGCCTCGTATAATATTATAGATACTTATTTTAATAAAAAGGGATGGATCAAATTTTAATAATGGCACGTTACTAGTGAGGCATTTAAGACTTTAAACACATGTTTTCAAGTCCAACTGAACACAGGTTAATTGTTGGATTCACTTTCTGACCATCATTTGTTTATTCAAGCAGAGATGTGCAAATTTGTTTATTCTGGCTAGTTTGTTGATTTTCGTTTAAGAATCCTAAGTTGCTAGGGGATAGCTCTTCATTTTACAGGACAAAATATAATTTTCATTATTGTGTTATTTGTACATTAAGCTCATTGTCATTATGTATTGCAGAAGTATAGACTCTATCTAATCCGTCCTAATCCGTCCTGTTCAGTCTCAAAACATTAACAGCTCCTTAAGTACACTTGGAAACATTCAGCCATCCAGGTTTCCTGCAATGTCAATGAATCAATGCAGCTCATTGTAGCATTACATGTAGTAATTTGTTGTAATCGTGATCTATTACATGTAGCTATTATGTTTCAGGTCCATAACATGTAGGCCTTTCAGGTTACCAAAACCTGGCCATACTGGTCCTTGAAGCTTGTTGTAACTGAGAATGACTTCCATCTAGATTTTGACCTTGTGGCATTTCGTCCTTACAGAAGTTCAAAGTAATGACCATCTTGTGTACCTAAGTTCCTGCAGTGCCAAGAGAGACCTCAAGTGTTGCAGACAAATAAACATGATAGGCCTTTGAAAGTGAGAACAAATGTTAGGGACTGAAGACCAAGTGAGAACAAATTGTATTCACCAATGTTGCAGGCAATTGACCAGTGAATTTGTTCAACTCAGCAGATAAAGTACACTCAAATTATGCAGATCAAAGATACTCTCTGGAAGGCTTCCTGACACGCCATGACCCATCAATGGCCAGATGCTGCAGAGAGGAACAATTACCTAATTACTTTATGAGTTTATAAGTTTCACTTTCTCAATTACAAGTGTAATTTGTTAAGTTTCTTAGTGTTAGAAAATAGTCATGAAGGATATTGGTACTTTTAATTTTTAATAAGTGATGAGTCATTCTTTGTTATTTGGTTGACAAAAGTTACTTTTGTTAGATTAATGATGTTAGTTACTCTACTTGTTGTAACACAATGCAATGAAGTGACTTGTTCATTATATACTCAGGCTCATTACCAAGTTAGTTGGGCTTCCTATGATATAAAAAATATGTGCAATCATATCCAAACTAAATACAAATTGAATGTACCAACAAACAGTTTTATTCTCCTGTATCATTATCAAATATAACAATGGATTGTAATGTAATAGATACACCAAGGCTAAACCATAATTGGAAATAGAGTATCGAATCACTTGAAATTCTGACAGTGGACTACATAATTTAAAAAAAAAATAAACATGAGCTGCAATCAGTGGACTACATTGCCAGAATAAAATAGAGTACACAAACTACATTGACAGTGGACTACATTGCCAGAATAAAATAGAGTATCCAAACTTAATTTTGACACTGAACTGAATAAAATCTTGCTAATGTTATAAGGGACAGTGATGTTCGACCTATATACAACATCCTGACAGTGGACTACATTGCCAAATAAACATGAGCTGCAATCAGTAGCCAAGCTATCCTCTATTGTCCAATGTGCAATCAGCTGCCAAATAAACAATATGGTGAATCTATAATGTCTGAGCATAACTTGACAACCAGTCTCCAAACTCAGTGGTCAAGCTGCAATCATTGAATCACCTTCACATCCACATAACCATGACCTGGCTCAGTCCTGGAAGGTCAGTCCTGCTCACGTAAAGAAGCTATCCCTGCCCAATTGTAGGTGACATAAACCACAAATAGGAACAATGAACATAAAATCATGCTAAATATTAGTAAATTATAAATTAGTCCATATGATGTGATATTAGTAAAATCATTCATATACAGACTCAATGTCAATGAGATTGATATATAAACTTAACCACTTTCAACCAAATGGCAGCCACGACCTCATATTAACATACAAGTAAGTTACACAAAAAAAAAAAGGATTCACCTACCAAGGTACAGGTCTGATTAGCAGCCAAATGGCCCATTACACAAGTTACATACAAAAAGTCCAGGTTTCACCTACACAGTAAGGTAGCATATATGCTATACTTTGGCAGCCTACCACTGTTGTCTGGCATAAACAGTATGGCTATCCCATTAACAAAAAAGTGATGATCCATAAACAGTATGGCTATCCCATAAACAGTATATCTATACAGCAGATCCAAAAAGAGTTATATGTGTCAGTCACTAATGAGTAGCCAACATCCCAGCCACCAATACTCTTCTTTTATTTTTATTGCATTGCATGAACACATCTGTGAGATTGCTATCCTTGCCCAATTGCACAGCAACCTGAACCATTTGAGTCTCAGTCAAATCTTCAAATTTCTCTAACTCTGTCACAATTGACATTTGCCTGTGATTACCCTCAGCTTGATGTTGAAAGCAAGCTACCAAGTTGTCTATACTATCAGTGGACTTCCTGTAATGCTGACTCAGATCCTTCATGACATCAACTACTTCTACAACCAATGGATCTTCGTTTCTTTGTCATTTTTTACCTCTCCTTGCGGTAGCAGTAGACACTGGAGATGGTGGGGAGACCTCATCGGCAGCGATGTCTGGCATTGTAGTATCTACACATGGTGTGGGTATATAGTCCCCAGTAAGGTCCAGATACTCGTCAAAGGCAGTGCCACTCTCTGCATTCACAGTTGCCTCTCGCTCCAATCCTGCAATGGATTCTGTTGCTTCCTCTGCATTAACTCCGGATGCAACATCTTTTCCAAAGACTGCTCCTAAACTGTCATAGTGGGGGAATGGCTTATTGAAAAGCCCCTTTGCGCCAGGGTGGCTCTGCAGTAGCATATTGAACATGTGGTTAGTAACAAGTAAATTGAAATTGTTGTAGCACATAAACATAAATGATACAGAGTAACAAAAAAAAAATGGGTCATCACCTTCACCCAATCATCGAATACTTCCCTCTCCACATCTATCATCTTCTTCGTGACGTTCCACCCGAACCCGCTCCCACCATTTGGGCCGATCATTTCAGCAATGGCGTTGTACTATTTTTTTAACAACTTAACCCGGGATGTGATGTGAGGAATACCTCTAAGTGTGCATCCAGGTATCCTTTGGTGCATGAGTTTCTCTACTGCAGCCGAAAATCCAGGTTTAAATCCATTATCCCCTTTCCAACTTGACCCAATGTCAATGAGACACTCAACAAGGATTTTGTCCTCTTCCACAGTCCACGTATGATTAGGCCGTTTCGTAGCCGGCTGGCTGTCTTGGGCCATGATGTTGAGAGTCTCAAGTGAATTCTGCTATATGAGAGAAAACTGCTGCTGAATAATAGGTGCAAAAAAATGTTATACTAAACAAAAAAATAATATCATTCAATCATGTTTATAATGGCTGTCGGTGTCTAATACACGTGAACAGGAACATATAATAAAAAGTAATAGTAGGAATCAAAAGTTAAAATAAAATTTCATATGTAGATAATAGTCAACTGGTCCAACATTTTACTTAAGGTTTAACTTATACTAAAAACAAACATAAATAGAAAATACAATGACCGAGAACAAATGTTATTTTCAACCACGGCTCCTCCACGTGTTCCACATCTGTTGCGCCATATCGTCCCTCCGAAGTGGCCATGCATTAGATGACTCCACATGAGTTATCAAATCATTTGATGCCATCTCCTCTTCAACATGTGCATTATCCACTTCACGATCCTCTAAAGGGTCAAACGCCATTTCTCTTATGATATGGTTATGAAGCAAGCAACATGCAGTTATAATCCTAACTTGCGTTTTAACTGGATAGTATGACTTTGACCTCACTATCGCCCAACGCCCCTTCAGCATCCCAAAACAGCGTTCTATTACATTCCTTGCCGAAGAGTGTTTCATGTTAAAAAATTCATACGATGTTGTTGGTTGTGCCCTATGTCTCCACTCACTGAGATGATATCTTTGCCATCTATATGGTGTAAGGAAACCTTCCCCATTCATGTACCCAGCATCACACAAGTAATAGTAACCTGAAGAAAAAAAATATGGCAGACATTACACACCACATTTCATGTATTTGTCAAGTTAAATTCGTAGCAAATAGGAACAATGTAAAAAAAAATTTATTACCTTTTGGCACCCGTAAACCATTATTACGAGATATGGTATCTCTGAGGACCCTTGAATCTGCAGCCGATCCTTCCCATCCAGGCAGTACATAAATAAACTGACCATCTTGTGAACAAACCCCCAAGACATTGGTTGCTATGTCTCCCTTTCGAGTGCGGTATCTAGCCTTATCAGCTAGTAAAGGATTAACCTTTATATGTGTCCCATCAAGAGCTCCCAAACAATTCTTAAAATTCCAACCAAAAAAATATTTGTAGCAGGTAAGAGTAGCATTGACATCAATTTCAACAACAATATATTGTAACACTTCCTCCTTTGTATGTTAAAATTACCTTGAACCACTTCCACCTTTTGTCCGTCGAGTTCTCGGGGACTGGCTCAGGTCGTTTAAATAAAACTGTAGGACATCGCAACACGGCCAACAACACATGGGTGAACTGCCTGCTAATTGTTTCACCGGACCTCATGAATTGCCTTTTAATTATCCTATTCTTAACATCATGAGCCAAAATGTGAAGAAATATTGCTACCATCTCTTCTACACCCATATGCTTCGTCGGTTCAAGCCCTCCAATACTTTTGACTAACTCACATAATTTAAAAAAAGTCCTTCTGTCCATTCTTGTATTCTCTATACAAGCAGTGTCACTTAAATGAATAATTCTATGGAAATTTACTTCCCTTGTCCTAGCCCTGCTACAAAAATCCTATGTTACCCTCCTCGTCCTTTGACTTCTCCGTTTTAAAAGATCGCGTAACAACAAAGCACACAGACTGACTAACAACATTGTCAATTGTTCATACACTGCAAATGAGTTATGAGTCCAACAATGACACTTAACTCCATTTCATTGTTCATTGCCATAAGCTAACACAAATAACGACAAAAGAATTCAGTTTCAAGTCAAAAACAATATATCACAATCCAAATAATTCATGGTCAAATGTCCACGGGCCATTTGTAACTTCATTATTAAATACAAGTAAAGTACATGATTTTTATCCGACCAAAAAAAGAGATTTTTCTTTAATGTGCTAAACAGTTCTTTCATGCAAGTGTAATTCACCTTAACATTGTACAAGACAGATTGAAACCTGTTTCATTCCCTAAAAACAGTTATTGCCTCAAGCATGGATCATCTATTTCTTTTATGGCGCTTTTCTTTAAAAGTCAATATATTAAATCATATTTACTATTGCACAACTATTTCTAAAGTAATAAAAAATTTGCATGTACTAAATCCTCAGCTTCTGCTCCACACTTACATTTGGGAATAATAACCATGTTTACCATCAAAATTTGTACTTGTTTGAAGCCTACTAACTGCTCATTTTGTATTCCAAAGTTGCAGTCATACCATAATAATATACATACAAGCATTCATTGAGTGGTAAGGCAATTAATTATATGAATATTCACCCACCGATTAAGCACTGGACTGTGTTCGAAAAAATAAAAGGTCACATTAATGTCATATGAGCTTAGCCAGGCAGAGTGAGAACACAAAAGTTAGTATCCTCTCCTTGCAGGAACGTAAGTATGTTAACAGGAAATCCATTGTTTGGAATCAATGAAGACTATGAAAGGACTTACCGGAAAGGGTATGTGAAGAGGATGTCTTAGATCCCTCAGAAGAACCAACGTAAAAAGCCTCACTACAGTTTCGAGCACAAAAAAGTGACTGTGCTGTGTTATCTCTGTCCTTCACCGTCGATGTGCTGCTACCTGTTGGAACACAGACAACTTAGAACAACAACTAACATTTTGTACATCATTTTTGTCAAATGAAAAAACAAATAGATGATGCGTGAGAGTTTCATTCCCTCACTTGCCACCGCATGCAATGACTTTGTTGAACTAATACCAGGGTTTAGATTGACGAAGAACCAGATAAAATCAAGCCACAGTGTCTACAACCACTTCCATGAAATGGGACTGTTTCAGTAGAGAAGTCCACTTCATCGTATTGTAATCTCTTCTTCCTGCGCAAAATAAGGACCACACAGAGGAGAGAGGATTTTAGTAATTGATTATCAGGGGCTAAAGGGTAACAAAACGCGCGCCAAAAATTCCATTTCCCTAGTTCTCTCCAATTACCGCCTCTCAGCTCGGTTTTGCAAACAGTGATTTGGAGAGAAAATTACACACACCACACCGATTGATGGGGAAACAGCTTCCCTGCTATTTTTTTCCAAACTCTTGTACCAAACGAGGCTGTCTTAAAAACCCTATCTCACTTACCCATCATTCTCCCTAAAAACCACCTACCAAACACCCCCTTAATGTACTTTTTTTCCATCCAAGTCTCTCACTTAAAAACTTAATCATTATATCTAGTTTACCCTTCTTACAAAAAAATGATAAAATATCACCTAAATGGCTTAGGCCAAAGTTATAAATTTACAAATATATACATATATATATATATATATATATATATATATTTCAAATGCCAAAGGCATCAAATATCATCTTATAATAATTCCTAATACATTATTTTCTCTAAATAACTAATCTATTTTTGCACGGCCATCGCACGACAACCAAAACTTTTCAACGTCAAACAGAGTTGTAAATCTTGTTTTACATCAACTGTTTTGAAAATATAAAACTACAAATGAGTTATAAAACTGCTATAAAATATATAGTATAATGTCAAATAGTGCAAAATCAAATTTGACAAGCTTGACATTCAAAGGGAAAATGCTTTGTCTCCATATTATGTATTTAAGTTGTTTGACCTTCATTAGGTGACAAAGAAGCAACACCAAGTTTCCCTCCTCTGGTAGCCATCTACCAATGCAAGATACCATTGTTATAATTATAGATATAAAATAAAATAACATGAAAACTGTTATTGACCCGTATAAAGGGCCCAGTGAATGACATGCCCAGTAAGGGACAATCCAAGATTCAAATCAAGTATAATTACGGATAGTATCCATCAAGGATATTAATCCTAATATGACAGCGTAGCAGACAGACCTAGGCTCTTATCAGAGGTACTAAAGGCCCACATCATACTACCCACAGGTAACCTCTATAAATAAAAGGTAAACCTTAAAAGTACGTTACGCTCTCTCCCTTACTGTTATGTTGTCATTGTGCGCACACACACTCCATTGGCAAAAACCGTTATTAGTTCGTTGTGCATAGTAATCTGCTTGGCTCAAGGGTATCTCCTTCATAGATACCTTTGATAGGGCACTAGATCCAAGATAAACATACCAATCTATTGGACTGGACACCTCTGTCTCCAAGACAGAACATTGGCGCCGTCTGTGGGAAAATTCTTCTTTGAATTTGATATTCCCACCATTCTAACTGAAGATGGCAGTCCGAACAAGGAGTAATAGCCAACATCCACACCCTCAGAATCAGCCTCTGGATCCAGTTCTGGAAGAGGTGAATCAACCTCAAAACCAGCCTGAGAATGAAATAGATTATGATCATGTTCATGTCAGTGAGGATGCATCAGATACAGCCTCCACCCCAGCACCCCGCGACCGAGTTGCGACTCCAGCTCTGAATAACCCTCCCCATCATCCTGGGATACTGCTGCTGCTCACGTTGCCTAACCTGCGGATCCTGATTCTAAACTTGCTCAAAATGCAGTTGCTGCAGTTTTACGGCGAATGGAGGAGATGGAGAATCGTAACAACCTCCAGCGGCAAGATTTTTAGAGAATGCGGGAACAAAATACCAAGAGGATGCAGGAGTTGGAGCAGCAGTTAATGGGGATGGCAGGGCCTGGAGTGAGAGAGGCCCCAGGCAGAGATGCTAATGGCCGAGAAGGGAACCACAACCCGGATTATCAAAATCGGGTTACTGCGTTAGAAAACCAAGGAATGCCCAATCCTGGATTACATCGAGTACGAACCCGAGAAACAATGTAAGGCCCAATCTTGGGTCCAAACCCAGAGAACATCGAAATCGGTGAACAGAATGCAAATGCGCAAACTTTGACCAAGAATGCTTCGGTAGGAGCAAACAGGTAGAGAGACCGGGATGGTGCACATCCTAACCGAGATGCCCAAACCATCAGAGGACGCGTGGAACCCGGTGGTTACAGGAGGAAGTACGGTTGGGGGCAGTACAATAACAACCTCTTTACTGGTGAAATATTGAATGCTCCTTTCTCGGAAGATTTCGATTCAGCACGCTTGCCGAAATACTATGGAAGTCAGGACCCGCAGGTCCACATAGATGCATTCGATACAGAGATATATATCCGAGGAATTGATGAACCCCTCATATCTCGAATATTTGCCATAACTCTGACTGGGGCAGCGCAGGCATGATTCTCAACCCTACCTGCCATAACTCTCGAATATTTGCCATATCTCTCCAGAGGTATCTTAACACATTTAAAGATGCTGCCTTGCAGGAGCTGGGTTTACAAGAGAATGTCCACGTCCACCTCATTGTGGCCTGGATGGATCATCTAGACTAGCCAAGTCGGTCTACAAAGACCCTGTGAGCACGTTGGAAGAGTTCAGAACTCGTTCCAAGAAATACTTGAAACTCGAACAAATAGAGATAACAAATGTGCTATCAGAGGAAGGTAAAAGAGCAAGCCCAAGAAGGAGGAGCCCGGCCCCAAGAGAAAAGGAATGACCCGGTAATAAAAAGAAAGACTCCAGAAATAGGATCCTGGATGATAGAGAACGGGTTGGAAGATATGAGAAGTATACACCGTTGAATGCCTCACGCTCTCAAATTTGGAGGGAAGTGACAATGACGGAGATGAAGAAAGTAGATAGACCTCGGCCCATATTTGATAGAGGAGGTTTGGATAAGTCCAAGTATTGTGCCTTCCATGATGGACATGGTCACAACATTGACCAATGATGGGATCTCTGAGATGCTGTGGAGAAATTTGTTGGAGAGGGGAAACCACGCCAGTATGTGATCAAAACTCAGGGTGCCAAAAACAACAAAAGAAAGTCGGGAAACCGGAAGAGGAGCAAGAGTCTGGTCCCTGAGAAGAAAAAGAAAGAGGAAAGAAACCAGAAAGATGATTCCAATAACGATGAATTCTCGGAAGTCGAATTCGATTGTAGTGTGATCAGTGGAGCTCTGGGAGGAGGAGGAGACACTATAAGTGCTAGGGCAAAGTACCTAAAAGAAGTGCTGTCGATCCAGGATCGTCCTAAATTTAAAGAGGACCCCAGTAAACCAGACCCTCATCTGCTCTATTTCACAAAGGAAAATATGCAAGGTATTTTGCCAGGGCATGTAGATGGTTTGGTCGTCACCGAAACCCTGGTGAATTGCCGGGTTAAAAAGATCTTCATAGATGTAGGAAGCAGTGCCGACATTATACTATAAGGTGCCTTCAAAAAGATGAACCTTGATGAGGAGGACCTCAAACCATGCAAGACAACCTTAATAGCTTTTAATGGAGAAAATACACCCCCTAAAGGCTACATAGATCTAAGGTTGACCCTGGGAACGAAGGAAGCGTTCAAATCAGAACGAGTGAGATTCATAGTAGTTGACTTCCCGTCAGAATACAATATAATTTTGGGGAGACCAACCATACACAAATGGGACATGTTGGTCTCTACAAAGCATCAAAAGATAAAGATGGTAAGCAGCAAGAATAAAATCATTACCATCAGTGGCGATAAAAAAGAATCCAGAGAAAGCTACTTTAAAACATTCAAAAGGAATGAAGGCGGACACTTGAGTCCACCCCGGATACGTCCAGGGGATAAAGCTGGCAAGAAGGCAATCCCTTATCATTCAGGAAAACCTGTTAATGTGGTTGAGCTGGATATGAGAGAAGAAGTGATTCCCAGGCCAGAACCAGATGGGCTATTAAAAGACCTTGTGTTGGAAAAAGAACCTGGTCAATTTATCTGAATTGGTAAAACCATAGATCCCCACATCAAGGAAGAGCTAGTCGGGTTTCTCAAAAGTAACACTGATGTCTTTGCATGGAAGTCATTAGAGATTCCCAGCATAGACCCAACCTTTTGCTACCTCAAGTTGGCAGTTTATCCCGGATAAGTACCAGTTTTGCAGAAGAAAAAGAAGCTGGGGCCAGAAAGAAAACGAGTTCTAGAGGAACATGTGAAGGAATTGCTGGATGTCATGGTGAAAAAATCCAACAGAAAATGGAGAGTCTACACTGATTACACAGATCTGAATAAAATGTGCCCAAAGGATTCTTACCATATGCCCAACATAGATCAGCTAGTGGATAACTCAGCTGGATTCCAATTGCTATCCTTCATGGATGCTTATTCGGGTTATAACCAGATCCCGATATATCCTGAAGATCAAGAAAAAACTGCATTTATTGCTGAGAAGGCCAATTACTGCTACAACGTGATGCCGTTGGGCTCAAAAACTCTGGGGTTACGTACCAGAGGATGATGAACAAAGTGTTTGAGGATCAACTGGGCAAGAATGTAGAAGTGTACATTGACAATATGATCGTTAAGTGATTCGACATAACGAACCATGTCCGAGATCTGGAGCAGACATTCCAAAAGCTTAGGAAATACCGCATTCGGCTGAACCCGGTAAAATGTGCGTTTGGAGTCCCGGCAGGGAAATTTTTGGGTTTAATGTTAACCCATAGGGGAATTGAAACAAACCCCGACAAGTGCAAAGCAGTGCTTGATATGAAAGCTCCTCAAAGCAAGAAGGAGGTTTAACAATTGCCTGGTAGGCTAGCTGCGTTAACCCGGTTCTTACACAAGTCAGCTGAGAATGCCCTCCCATTCTTCAAATTATTAAAGAAAGAAGTTGTGCAAGGATGGAACCCGTAATGTCAATTCGCATTCGATAAGGTTAAAAAATGCTTAGCAACCCCACCGATACTGTCTAAGCCAGAACTAGGAGATACTCTGATCTTGTACCTGACTGTGGGGGAAGAGGAAATAAGTGTTGTTCTGATCAAGGAAACCAGCAAAGGTCAAGAGCCAATTTACATCGTAAGTAGGGCCTTAAAAGGTCCTGAGTTAAGGTACCAGAGGCTGGAAAAAGTGGCTTTTGCCTTGCTGATTACGGCGAGGAGGTTGCGGCCATACTTTCAGGGACACCAGATAATAGTTCGCACTAATGAACCTATACGACTGGTGTTGCATAAGCCAAATATGGCAAGAAGAATGACTAACTGGGCAATTGAACTCTCTGAATACGACATAACATATGAAAGTCGGAAAGCCATCAAATCACAAGCTTTGGCCGACTTCGTAATGTAGCTCACCCCGGTTAGCCCAGAAATAGGAGAAGCTGAAGATACTTAGAGGGTATATGTAGATGGATCCTCCAATGATAAAGGAAATAGAGTTGGGATAATACTAGAAAGTCCAGAAGGAGTGACAATAGAACACTCCTTGAACCTAGGTTTCCCAACTTCAAATAATCAAGCAAAATATGTAACCCTAATAGCCAGGTTGATGCAGGCTAAGGAACACGGGGCCAAAAGGGTTAAAGTCTTCGGTGACTCCCAATTAGTGACTTCTCAGATAGTAGGAAAGTATCAGGCCAAAGGACCTTTGTTGATGAAATACCTAAACATGGTCCGAGAAATGATGGCCGAGTTTGAAGAGGTGAAAGTCACTCACATGCCTCGAGGGGAAAACAGTCGAGCTGACATCTTGTCTAAATTAGCAATTACGAAGAATCCAGGAAACCACAGAACCGTGGTACAACAGAGGAAAATAGAGCCGAGTTGTGTGATGATAATCACCTCGGCAAATGACTGGAGACTACCCATAATGGCATACCTTGAGAAAGGGACATTGCCTGAGGACCCATTGGAGTCCAGGAAGCTGGTCCGAGATGCAACACAATATGTAATAGTGGAAGATCAGCAATATAGAAATGGGTTGCACATCCCTATGCTGAAATGTTTAAACTCGGAAGAAGCATAATATGTGTTGGCTGAGATACACGAAGGAATTAATGGCCACCACATGGGGGAAAAGCTTTGGCTAGAAAAGCCCTCTGAGCTGGCCATTACTAGCCGACTATGGAAGCAAACTCTAAAGAACATGTCAAAAGATGTGACAGCTGTCAAAAACATGCCAAGCTAATTCTTTCACCACCAGAAAAATTGAAATACATCTCGGCTCCATGGCCCTTTTTCAAATGGGGGATGGATTTGCTGAGACCATTCAAAGCTGCGGAAAGACAGTTGAAGTGGCTAGTTTTGGCCGTAGACTACTTCACCAAGTGGATAGAAGCAGAACCGGTTACCACAATAACCTCGGCTAGAGTACAAAGGTTCTTTCAAAGGAACATCGTCTCCAGGTTTGGAATACCAGCCGAGGTAGTGACTGATAATGGAACACAATTTGCTGATAAACGGTTTCAGGATTTGATGAAAGACTTGAAGGTCAAACACCGCTTCGCGTCTGTGGAACACCCACAGTCAAATGGGCAAACTGAAGCTGCAAACAAGGTAATTGTTGACGGGCTCAAGAGACGAATGATGGATTCTAAAGAAAGCTGGGTTCATCAATTATACTTTGTTTTGTGGGCATACCGAACGAGTACCTAGACAGCAACGGGGAAAATCCCTT